TATATATATATATATATATATATATATATATATATATATATATATATATATATATATATATAAAAGGGAGGATTCAATAGGAAATGCATAAACCCTAAAAAAGATGGCATCCAATAAAAACATGACAACACATAATTATACAAAAGTTAATTAAAAGGATAATTTTCACTTATAACCGTCACATTCAAAACGTTCCCATCTCAAGAAGCAATGGTTACCATGTTCAAAAACTATATTTTGTTACTTTTTTATCAGTAAATCTCCATGTTTACTCCAAATAAGAATGCCTATCAACTTTTAACTTCTGGATAAATCCTTGAAATTAGGAATTTTTTTTATATTATCAAGCGTATTGTGTGGTTATTTTTCTTGAAATGAGAAATTATTGAGGACATATTTACAAAACTGGAGAGATTCTTGGTTTATTACCAATCATATCATATTTTAGTATGTTTATTCATAAATCTAAAACTAAGAAATGGTTATGGAAGAAAAGTTCTTATATATTACAAGTATATTTGTGATTTTTTTTTTTTTAATAAATCTTGAAATGGGAATGTTGAGGACATGTGAGCACAAAAGATGGAGATACTTGGTTGATTATAACACAAATTCTGTGATCATATGTTTATTCATAATCGAGAATTAAGAAATGGTTAATTCATAATGGTGTATTATATTTATGTTTTATGAAGAAAAACGGTTAAGGAAAGAAAACGGATGTTTGGTTTATATTTTAACTAATTTATTTCTAATCCACTATAATTACATTTAAGCCCTCTTTATTCAATAATATTTATTCTAGAATATTTAATTAAACGGAAACTTAATTTCCATGTGTCACTTATTGATTGGATCTTTAATGTGTAATCTTAATATGCATTTTATATAGCCAACCCCATTACTTAGACTCCATGTAAATCATGCGTCTGGACCGTGCCTATAAATAACCGAAGGTTCAGGGTGCGTGTGATAGAAAATATTTTCAACTCCACTTTTTATCTTTCTTTAAATAAAGCTTTTTCAAGTACCGGAATATAGTTTGAAGATGAGGGTGGCAGTTGTTGCAGTGGGAATTAGTGGGTTAGTATCAGCGCACGTTTTGGCTAAAGCTGGATTGGAGGTGGTATTATATGAGATGGACAATTGCCTTGACAGTGCCTCAAAAACCATCTCTGTGAACGGTGTTGAATTAGACATTGGTTTCATGCCCTTCAACCAGGTAGCTTTTGTTCCTTCTCTTAAACTATGCACCGATTTACAAATTTCAATTCTCTTAATTAATACTAGTTATTAAACTATTAATTAATAGCTTTTGTGGCAACATTACCGTAAATAACATCAAGTAATGACCCAACATCAAGTAAATGACATCTATATATCCACAGTTTAATAACTGTTAATTAACAGCTTCATAATATGAATTCACAATTTAATGACTGTGAATTCATTGAATTCATAGTTTAATAATTGTAATGCTTTGGTGTTATTTATGGTTACGCCACCGTATCCAATGTTCGGCCTAATGGTATGTGCTCATAATTTAGTAATGGTGAACCTCTCTCTCTCTCTCTCTCTCTCTCTCTCTCT